CATTCTTTCATATAACCACAGACCTTGTTTTAAAGAACAATATCACATGACTTATTACATGAATGCTCCATAATCTGCCAGTTATACTGGTATAACTACTATTACAGATATCTTAACCCAATCATTAGTAATAGTTGCCATAATACAAATATTACATAGGTAATTATTCAAATTTTTACTGTCGATAAGATTTGAACATCCAATCTACCACTTGGAGGGTTGACAACCTAATCACTTTACTAGGTCATCACACTTTATTATATTCTTTTTAGTTATATATTTTTGTTATTAATTATTAAATTTTCTAATTTTATTATTTATATTATTAATTATCTATTGTATCTTAATCTCTTTAAAGATAATTTAGTACTTAATTAGAATATATCTTTTTTATATTTTTTAATTTTATTATTTTTTAGATTATTTTTATTTTTTAATTTACTAATATAATTATTTTTCTTATAAATAATAGTGTAATAGTCTTCAAATTTTTGTTTAAAAATTTCAACTTTATTTTAAATTTCAGTATAGTTATTTTATTTTATTTTATTTTTTTTTGAACTTTGGTGACAATGCTTTAATTTGATATAGTACAAATTTATGGTTACAATTTTTTTTTTTTTAGGATCAATTATTATTAGTACTATATACTATCTAATTTTTATACTACTGACTTCACCCAGTTACCCATATGGTACCTAAGTGCATGTCTGCCACATGCCTGCACATAGTTATTTTAACAACCACTTGTAGTTAGAACATATCATTAAACTGCTACATAGACAAAGATACCTATCAAACTTAATACAGTATCCCAAATGCCAGAGGTACTATCTTCTGTAAATCATATCCATATATCCTACTCATATGTTTTACCTAGTCTTGTTTCTTCTGCCTCTTAATCTAACTATATCTAATTTTACCTTATTCTTTACATTTCTCACCTTTTTGACACTGTACTACTTCCAAATTGATCCTACTCTGATATGTTTAATTCTTATGATCTTCCCATCTTTGATATGCCTGTTATTAATTTCTCTAAGGTATTTCGACAATGGTTTAGGAACTACAAAGAACCTGTATCTCAAGTTAAATCTGCTGCTGCTATTGGTCTTTTGACCAATCCATATTTTAAGCCAGATCTGCTGCTGCTGTTCTTGCAGTTGCCTTAAGTCTTAATATCATACAGTAACTCAATACTGCATTTAACCTTCAACATAGTGCTCTCTTCTATAGTAAGGACTAAGACTTGTTGTGCTTACAAACAAAACAATTCTGGTTATACCTAGGAAGTTCCTCTGACCTTAGTAATATTATACTACTATATATTGCAAGCTTTCAGCTTATTCAATAATATCTGCAAAACAATTTTGGTTATGTCCTAGGAAGTTATTCTGATCCCAGTGATGCCATACTACCTTGCAGATCTTATCTCATATTGGTTGATTGATCCCAGTCTTGTTCGTTATAGACTTCTATATAGATATGACCAGGAACCTGATTTGGTACTTTTATATTGCACAAGAAAGTTATACACCAACCTTCAAGATTTTTTCTTTCTATAATTAGATTATTTGGCTATGCCAGAGGTGCTTTCAATTTTTGGTTAGACCAATCCTTTATCACAGTCCATCCTCATGTTCATCATTTCTCTTATTATTCCAATCTTAGTTATTTTCAGAATATTCTCCCAATCAAATCCTCTCCTTGAATCCTAATTAAGACTTATTTGCACAATCTGTTGATTATCCTTCCAAGCAAGTACCCTACAAGTTGGGTGCAAGGATGTTGGTACTGCCTATATTAGGAGGTATAAGGATGTTGATACTGCTCTAGTATAAAGAACTTACATGTGCAATCTTTCATAACTATAACCTTCTGTAATAACCACTTATTATGCATAGTGCCTGCACTCCACGATTAGGTCTCCTTCTGAGAATTCCTATTTCTATCATTGTACTGCACTTGGACTTAACCACAGGGCTTCACATTTAATTACAGACTTCTTTATTAGGTTACAGAAGCTAAAATCTTTTAATTTTATCTCCAGTCAGACTTGAACCATTGATCTTGACTGTGAAGGGTATAGAAGCTTAACTGCTAAACTATAGAACCCACACCTTGTATAGTTATTTTTTATCTTTTTATTTTCTATAAATAAATCATTATTATTATTATTATATTTATTATTTTCTTTTTTTATAACTTCAGTTTCATTGCTTTTTATTAATTTTTCTTTAATAAAAATTGGTTTATTAATAGTAATATTTTAGAAATCCTTTCTAAAATAATGAAATATTTATTATTAAATTTTGAGAATTCATTAATTTCTATAAAATAAATATTATTTGATATAATTAGATAAGAAAAATAGTCAAAATTTCTATCTATAATATTGGTATTATTATAACTAGTTATAAGTTAAAAAGTATTAAAATATTTATATAAAAAATTAATTTTATTTTTAATAACTTCAAAATTTTTTTTTGTTTTCTACAAATAAAAGATAATAAACTTATTTTAAAAATTCAAATCTTATTTTAATAACTTTTTTTAATCAACATATTTATTGCAAAAATAAATTTTGAATATCTATTTACTAAATTGAACATAATAGTCAGTTTTATAATTTTTTAAATATAATTAAATTAGTAATATTAAATAGATAATAAGAATTGTCTTAGCATATAATACTTATCAAAATTTTTATTTACTCTCTTTTTAGTAATTCTTATAACTACAAAGAACCAATAGATGTTTTATTTTTTTTTGTAATTGTATTCTTAAATTTAATATACAAATTCATTATATAATATTAATGTAAATAAAATACATTGTTGATTAATAGTTATATTTTGTATAATATAATAATCAATATAACTATCAAGTACTTTGTATATCTTATTCTATAAATAAAATATATAAAATAATATACAATTTTAAAACTAATTGAATCTTTTTAAACTTTTCTTTTGAAGATTGTATTTATAATTTGGAAACAGATAACTATGAATTTTCTTTATAAATTCAGATACTTAGTTATAAATTTTTACAATATCACAAATTTTAATGCTTTTCTATAACTTGAAAGTAAAAATTAACCTTTTTATAACTTATTAGTAAGTTTTAAAACTTTTTTTATATTATTTTCTTGATTATATAAAGTCCAATAAGTAGTAAAATTTTTTTAAAAAATTATAAATCTATTTTGTGTTCTTGGCAAATTGAACTTAGTTTTGCTTCTATTACAGTTTAGTAAAATTAATTTGCTTAAACAAAGAAAGATTTTTAATTCTATATCATTAAATTTATAATATTTTTTAGATTTGTAAAAACTTTATTAATAGTATGTACAATTCTTTTACATTGTAATAATATCATTAAAGAGTGTCATAAAAATAATGCTATTAAAATTCTAAATAAATATATAGACCATAGTTGCAAAAACTCATATCTTAATAATAATAATGTTATTCAAATATTTAGCTTATATAAATAATGCTTTTAATAATCAGAAAATTTATCATAAATAAGATTTTTGAAAATATTTGATTACAATACATGTCTAATATTCTTATTTTACCAAACAATAAAAATTCTCATTTTTATAAACTGCATAAAATTCAATACTAAATTTTAATAAAGACATTTTTAATCAAATTTGACTTGTGAACCTTTCTGTATTAATAATGCAACTTGTAAATTTTAAATAATATAAATGATTTACAAATTACTTTAAATTTATAGATATTTATTGGTTTAAAGTAATTTATAGATTATTTATATTATCTGTTCAATGTTAGGTTCACCTCTATTCTGTGTACTGTAGATGTAAACCAAGTTTCTGTTTTAGAAATATTTCTTAGAAATTAAAGCTTATTATCTGAATAAAAAAAACCAATGTTGTATAATTGGTTTACTTTTCTGTTAACAAAAGGATCATAATCATGCAGTTTATTGGTTTACATTTTCTACTTTCAAGCAAAAAAATGATGCAATCAGTAGTTATAACAATGAATAAACATTGATCAGATTTACAAAAAAATAATAAAAATCATACCTAATTAAGTTAACTATTAATTATGACTAAATGTTTAATCCATATGTAAAAGTTTTACATATTACCCTTAAAGTTAATCTATAGATGGAAAATTTTCACTATTTGTGCCACAGTAATAAACTGTCCTAACCTTCAGAATTATGGTAGAAAATGTTATTTGCGTCATAACCAACTTTTGTGCAAGTTATGGCATTATTATTTTAATAGTTATTGGGCCTGGCACTTGCAATATCATGGTCACCAAATTAGTGTTGTTAGGCAAACCAGCAAAACTGCTAAAAGGTGGTGAAATGAAAAAAAGTAAATAAATTGATAAAAGATAAGAAAACCAGTAAAGAAACAAGAATAGAAAGGTAATTAAAAAAAATTAAAACCTTTTTACTGTATTTAATTTATAGATATTTAAAAAAAAGTAAGTGTTGACAAGATTTTTATTATATAATCATACTATTATTCTAAGAAATTTTGCATTTATAAAGAATTGTACAATAAAAAGTAATTATAAAAAGATAAACTATATAAGTAAATAATACAGTGAAACCTTCATAAGTGCACCCTCTATAAGTGCACACTCTTGGGACTGAACTTTAACGACATGCACTTAAAAAGCAATAAGAGAAAGTGCATTTTTGGTCATATATATTTTTGGGCCTGACTTTAAGCGTGCATTTAGAGAGGATGCACTTATGGAAGGTGCACTTATGAAGGTTTCACTGTACTTTGTTTAATAGCCACTTGCAAAATATTTTGATTCACAAACATGGCTCAGTCTTTCCAAAATCTTAGAGGATTTGATCTTCGCTATGTTTGACTTTTTTCAGAGATTTCAGCTTTACAGTACACCAGATACAAATGTACTAGGGTTCTGCAAGTCAATATACCGGACAAAAATGGCATTGTGCCAGGCACAGTTGGGTGGAAAAACTAGTGCCCAAGTGTTTCAATTTTTTTTATTATGCCCTGAACTTTTTGTCAGTGCAAGTGCCAGTGCCACAATGTTTTTAGTATATACTATCGCTATGTATTATAGAATGATATACATATGATTGGCTAATTTACACCAACCCAAATAATTATTTTTTTCAATAAAATGTATTGGTACTTTTTGTCTATATTATTCAGTTAATACAAAATTTATTTTTTTAATCCTTTACTAAATAAATCATCATTGAATAAATCTTTAATGTCTTTATTATCAAATAATTCATTTTTTTTACATTATTTAAAGTTTTACTTCAAAATTTTAATAATATTTAGATGAATTTTTTATTGAACATTTTTCATAAAATAAAATACATACGTGTATACAATTTTTTTAAAACTTTATATAGAGCACATACATTTGTATAACAATAAAGTTTAAATCTCTGGGTAATAAAAAAATAGTATGATTTACAAAAGACAAAAATGCTTTTTAAATGGGACCGTTTATGTTACATAAGTGATTCAATTAATTAAATTTTGTTTTATAGTAGTTTTTTAAGAAGCTCAGGTACTTTAAATCCTTAATAAAGAGGTTGAGATTTTAATAGAACTTGCTAACAACCATTTCACTTATATTCACCATTAACTATAAATCAAACAATATTGTTAGTAAAATACTTTAGATAAGCACATACTTAAAGACATAATCAATTACCAAATTATTGTAGCATGGCAATAATAACTTTTTTATCTGGTTTACAAATCTAAATATCAATATATAAATGAGTAATAATTTGTTTACAGAATTATTCCAATAAATTGAATATATTGCTTACCATCGGGAATTTCAACATTAATAGGTTGACTTACTAAATATATACACTTAATATTAGGTTGACTTGCTAAAATACATACACTTAATATACCAAAACTACAAAAAATCAAATTTAAAAAAATAAATATCCTTACCTAAATTTACTATATTAATAGATTCAGAAATTTTTACAATTTTGACACATTACCAATTTATTTAAAAAAAAGCATAAATAAATGTTATTACCTGGTTCAGGAAGTTTTTGGAGATATAAAAGTCGACTCGTATAAATAGCTTGTGGATGTGTCTGATAGTTGAATCGTGCTGATTTAACCTTATCATATATTGAAGAATTTTTGCCTGAGCTTTTAATATCTTTAATTTGTTTACATAATTTAGTTTCTTTATTGTTTGAATCACTAAAAAACTGATACAAGATATTAGATAATTCTCTAGCAGTTGGTCGGTTTTGAGGTTCTGCGTCTAAGCATTTATTCATTAGATCCAAGAGTAGTTGAGGAACTTCGCATCTAATTTTAGGTCTAAGGCCACAACAAATTTGAATTGCTAGTTCATTGTCATGTGGAATATTATGATATGGAGGATACCCAGTAAAAACTTCTGACATAATTATTCCGAAAGAATAAATATCTGATTTTTGGGTGTATTCCTTTCCGGTTTTATATAGCACTTCTGGAGCAATGTAAGGAATTACACCAAAAACCCCTTCAATGCTTGAATCTCGAGACACTGGCTTACATAATCCAAAATCAGTAATGTAAGAATTATATATATCTTCGTTAACTATATTTCCGGAATGAATATCTTTATGCACTAATTTGGCTTGATGGATTGAATTAAGCCCATCAGCTATGTAATATAAGATAGCAACTTTAGAGCTCCAATCTAAATCGTTATATTTGTTGTCTAATAATTTTCGGAGACTTCCCTGCTTTGCGTACTGCATAACCATCATATAATTGCCATCATTTGGGTTCTTAGTTATTCCATAAATTTCAATTGTTGAACTACCCCCATATTTATGTTGACATTCAATCTAAATAATTAATTAGGATAAATAAAACTAACGATGATAAAATAATGATAAATTATATAATATACCTCACTTAAAAACTCTTGGTTTATATCTTTAGAATTATCAAGCCCTTTTAAACAAACATTTGTTTGTGCAATTCTGTTCCATATATTTTTTCGGACATTAAATCCGGAAATATATCCGTCAGTCCATACTGCCTTAAAAACAGTGCCGAAGCCTCCTTTAGCAAGATACTTTATATTTGTAAATTTATTAAAAGGTATCCATTCGATAATGTCTTTAAATTTCCTTGCATTAAGTTGAGTTTGTTTAATAAATTCATCGATGTCTGAATTGTCACTTGTCCAATTATGAAAATCCTCTTGAAACCTTAACATTAAACAATAAGTATAATAATGCATTAAGAACTATGATTTAGAAATAACCAGTACCTACCGACTATTATGAGTTAATTGAAGACAAATTATTAGAATTACCATCTGTGTATTGATTTGTATGTGATTTGCTGTAAAAAATGTGTAAAGAACTTACAAGCTGTAGTGATAAAATATGTGGATTAGTTAGAATTAACGTTCGTTAATGCATTGATTTGTACGCGATTTGCTGTAAAAAATGTGTAAAGAACTTACTCCCTATAGAGGCGACACAAAATATGTGGATTAGTTAGAATTAAC